GATGCATGACCTGCACAGAAAGCCACAGAAAACAGACAATTCAACTCGCTATCAGGGATGCATAGTGTAGTGGCAGAATGCAATTTTATTTTAGGACATGAATTAAATTTGGTTTATACATATAATCACAACTATTCCTAATAAGCCACTCATGACTAGGACTGGCCCTGGGCACAGGAAAACTAGGCGACTGTCTAGGGCCCTGAGGCCACCAGGGGGCCTTCCTCAATGTGGAACACTATATTTTTAAGATTCCCTATACTGTCTCTTTCTGTTGCCGCTGTGGATTTTCCTACTGGAAGCCCAGTCAAAAACAGACCAATCATAATCGAGCACGTAATGTTTCTGAAGCGCAGAAAAGAAGGGCAAGATAAACGATCTCAAAACAGAGGTGCACCCAATGAAGTCACCGTTACAATGCCCTTGTGTTTCATTTGGTCTTGAGTCTGTCAGATCCACATAACTAGCGAACGCTAGACATGTCACATCTTCAAGCTAGACACAGACTGCTTGAGGCGTTTTTACTAGACTTTAACAGATTCACGTTTCCTGCAAACGTACACACGCCGCATGGGTCGTCTGCTAAAAATCAGCACTGCCTGGCCAGAAGCGTGAAAGCAAATAATAATTAATAATTATAGGTGGGTACCTGCGTCAGCATGCATAGTCTGCAAAGGAACAAGTAATAGGCTTATTCCATGCTGAAAAGAGAAGAAGGCTTCACAGCTGAAACGTTGTGTTTTCTCTCTTCTCTTTTCAGCAAGAAATAAGCCTATTACTTGTTCCTTTGCTTTAATAATTATAATTCCTTACACTTATATATTGCTTTTCTGGACACTACACTCAAAGCGCTTTACAGATCATGGTGACTCACCTCCACCACCACCAGTGTGCAGCCCCACCAGGATGATGCACCAGTACTCTCCCCACACACCAGCTCTCAGTGGGGAGGAGAGCAGAGTGATGAAGCCAGTTCAGAGATGGGGATTACTAGGAGGCCATGACTGGTAAAGGCAAGGGGGAAATTTGGCTAGGATGCTGGGATAACACCCCTACTCTTTTTGAGAAACGCCCTGGGATTTTTAATGACCACAGAGAGTCAGGACCTCGGTTTTACGTCTCATCCAAAGGACGGCGCCTTTTTACAGTATAGTGTCCCCGTCACTATACTGGGGCATTAGGACCCACACAGACTCCCATCCAGGTACTGGCCAGGCTCAAACCTGCTGAGCTTCAGTGAATTGGGGTTTAACTTCATTAAATGGGGGTATTGTAAACCCCATCTGTAGCCCTTCGGATTGCAGTCACTCTCCCAGTGACAACGGCAGAAGCAGAGAGGAGCTTTTCAAAGCTCAAGATTAAAACACACCTGAGGTCAGCCAAGGCACAAGACCATTTCAGTGGACTGGTCATCATGAGCATCAATCACACAGTGGATCAATTACTATCCTATGAAGACGTACAGTAATTGGTGATTTTGCCTCTTGAAAATCTAGGTGAATTGATTTATAGAACATTTATTTTATAAAACTTTCCCATCTTCTCAGGCTTACTGATCTCACCTCCTTTGTTATTGAGTGCACTTATTTCTTGCTTAATTTCACATTTATTTCTACAGTTCCTTTCTACAAAAGGTTTCAATGCAGTAGCTTGCAAGTTATAATTTGGTACAAATTTGATATAACAGAGATTGTTTCTATCGTTATTTATTACTAATGGTTCTATATACTACTGTTAATGTTCAAACACTTTACCCTAGTAAATTTTGTGCTTCTTGTTCTTAACATATTTATTATGTGTTCTTAAAAACTGTTAAATACATTTTCTAGTTATATAATTCATTAATTGTTCTAAATAGTAAAATAAGGTTGTGTTGGGAGCTGATAACAGTAGTGTGTGCGCGAATCGTGATCTGGAGGGCCCCCTTTCCCAGATCTTGCCTAGGGCCCCCAAAAAGATAGAGCCAGCCCTGCATACTGCTTTTTTCCTTTGAAAGATATAATGGAATCATTCTTCCAGCTTCGTGTTGGACTAAATTAGAAACAACCCCTATTTCTCCATAATGACAATTCCGCTGATGAGTGCTATAAACGTGATTCCAGCACACTGCCCTCTTATCTCAGGGGAATACTCACAGGCAGTCTATAATGATAAAAGCACAATGCTCAGCTACAGCTGTTATATTTCCACAGTGGCAGTCTCCTTTCCCCTGCTCTGACACAATGGCACAAATCTTCCCGTGGCAACGAGAGGCAGATAAATCTCTCCCACTGGCGGGCCTCTGATTGCGTGCAGGGTTATCTGTTAGAGAAAAGAAGCTCAAGGCTACAGCACAGCCACATCTGAATTGCTTTCCGCTTATGGAGTCTACTTTTTTTACGGCTCACCCGGCTCCCACTCTCTTGCCAATTCATTTTCTCTGCTTTTACTAATTCTCTTTATTTAATGCAGTAATTGTAAATTCCTACATGTCCTTCCGCAGAAAAAAAAAAAGGAAGAGACCAACTTTGCTTCTTAGCCTGAGGATTTAATCATTCTCAATTGCGCCGAAGAGCAGAAGGAAAAGATGATCTTGTACGCTCCTTTAAGGATAATGTGAATCTTAAGTGGTTCTTATCAAGGTTTTGACAACAGGACAGGTTATGTTCCCATATTGCAATGTGCTCCTTTTTGTCAAGACTTGAAAGAGCAGGTACAAGGATAGATACCACAAACGACGAGCCTTTGACAGTCTGGAAGGGAGCGCACTGGACGCTAGCCTGCATGTGGCTGAACCCCACAGGATCGGAAATGTGCAGCTGGAGCACAGAGCCTCTTCCAGGACCAGTTCGGCGCCAGGCTGCGCCACTGATGCCAAGCTCCAGCAGCTTGCAGCCTGCAGCCCATCAAAATAATCTCCTTTTCAACCATGTTAAGAAAAACCTTATTGTATCATTCTAACCTGCTTAAGCTGCTTTACATCATTTAAATGAGTGCACCCTGTCAACAGTTTCCCGTGATAAACTTCCATGGTACTCGCACCAGTATTTCCTCAGTTTCTCAATTATTTTTACAAAGCCTAGACCTGATCCTATGCTTGGCCCCTATTTCTCAATTTGCATCATGATTTATCGTACCTTCCTGTCCATGCTTTCAATATGGTGTCACTGTGCTTTGTAACACAGTACTTTTCTTTCCAAACTGTATGTTATTTAACTTGTTGTTACTGCTGCTGTTCTGTATTTATGTTTTTAGTGATTCCTTAATGTCTTTGTATGGGAGCCCACATGCAAATAAGCATATCACTGCACTTGTGCACATGACAAAATAAACAGAACTGCTTGTGCTATCGTACATCTCAGTAAAGCTTAGCAAGGGCACTACTGTGTGTTTCTTGTTCATATAATTATGGATCACAGCGCACAAAAACAGAAAGTACAGGGTCATCAGTTCTGGTGCAGAGTGGCGGAGAAGTCAAAATGAAGTCCAGCAAGCTCACCTGGTACGATCCTTTTGGCCACAGCCGGTCTCTGCCCCGCTCTGAGGCTCCTGCCCCTGGCAGTGGGGCCCCTGGTCCCCCGGGGGGGCGACGCGCTGTGCCGTCGGCCGCGGGGAGCTCTCCGCGCCGGCGGTGAACTGCTCTGGGCTCGGGAGCCGCCTCGGCCGGGACTCTCCCGCTCCTGCTTGCCGAGCAAAGACTCCAAGGCCTGGGCAGGGAGAGAGTCTCATTTCGTCATGTAGCACGAGCAGGGCGAGCAGGTGAAGGATCAGAGCAGCAAAGCAAAACACAAACTGATACCTGCACCAGAGCGATTAAAAAAGAGAGATGGGGGGCACTTTCAGTACATTAAAATAAAAAAAATCAGCAACATCTCATTCTGTACTGTTAATATTACTTACAGGGGACTTTGTTTACTTTTGATCTCACATACTGCATATTTTATTTTAAGGTTTTAATAAAAACAAGCTTTGCAATTAGAAACTAACACCACCACACTAGCCCCAAGACACTGTTAACAGAAGAGCCTCTCTCTGACCTCCAGCTTCTGCAGGATATCGACAGCTGTCTCAGGCACAGAGGAACTCGAGCCCGACTCCAGTTTGGCGGAACACAGGGACAGCTGGCGAATCAGATGGCCCAGCTCCTTGTAGTGGGACAGTGCCCTGTCTTCTGATTGGTCAGGCAGTTGATTAACAAACACCTGTAGAGCCCGGACAGCCCCTCTGTGGGCGGCGGCCAGTCTGTCCATCGCTCTGGACTTTGACAAAGGGAGAAACATGGGAAGAGTTGATAGAAAATAGAAAAATCTGTATCTTCAGATCTGTAATAGATAGAGCTGAAAAGACCAGCAAGAAACCTGTTTAAACACGTTCACGTCTACACCCTTTACTTGATTAGTGTCTGTATGACATGTACTGCTGTACATGTCTTGTTGAATTATTTTCCAAAGTGATAATCTATTCCAATAAGTGCATCTTCCTAGGAGGCTGGAATGGGGAACTACCCATGCGTGAGCTACAAAGAAACAGGCAGAGGTGAAAGCAGTAAAATGAAAAAAAGAGACAAAAACTCACTGCTGTGATTTTTCTTT